TATAAGAGACAGAATCACCCCTCCCCCACTCCCCTAGAACATATATTAAGCAATTCCTCACAGCCATTTGGATTCAACGTGAAATTAAAATTATATTAAATATAAATTGTTATGATTATTATTAATTACTTTTTTAACCATTATAATTAAACATCGTTTGCCTCATGGTTCAAATTTTAAGTTTATTCCCATTTCTCAACGGTTATCCGAAATAATTTTCTGATAATCAGCAGATAAATTCATTTGACATAAAATTGTATTGAAATTCACAAAATACATCAAATAAATAATAAAAATATTATGAAGGGTTAAGTGTAACCCCCTTACCCTTAAAACCAAACGAGGAAATGATAATATAGTAGCCTTCATTTAGTAAAATTTCATGTTAAGAAATTTCCAGGTAGATTGTTTTTATATCTAATATCAATTAATGAAACAAAGCTATGTATATTCGCAAACTGTAAACACTATTTATTAATTGAGCATCATAAGTAGATTGACACTAATTAACACGCCTTAATTAGACGGAAGAGAGAAGGCAATTCCTGAATTTTTGCTCTAACACAATTCATTTTATAAAGTGCTATATCTATGTATAAAAATACAGTGATATATGAATATATAACAACATAATGTTATTTTAATTGCTTGTACTACATAAATTTTTTCAGCAAAATTTTCCAGTGCACCTAATTTGATTATTAATCCACATTTTACACGTGATAATTTGCATATAATTATTTAGTTATATCTATTATCTTCAATATCGCCCCTGCCTTCTTAACCTTATCGTAAGCCATAGGCGCGCTATCAGCGGCCACCCCCCAGCCCCCCTCCCCAGCGTTAGCACGTGGGGAACGTGAGCGACAAACAGCAATGTAACAAACAAGAACAACAGGAGCAAACAGACTTGCGAACAGACATTTTTCAATGCAAACTTGGGAAAGGAAATAAAACAAGAAAATACGATGAAGCAACACAAAAAACAGCATCATAACAAATAACATCAATTCAATAAAACAGTAGCCAAAACAATATAAAAGCAAACAACGAAAAAGAAGTGGACAAAACAGAGGCACTCAAAACAGAAGCCAACAAAACAGAAGCAAACAAAACCGAAGTAAAAAAAACAGAAGCAAACAAAAAAAGAAGCAAACAAAAAAAAGCAAACAAAAACAAGAAGCAAACAAAACAGAAGCAAACATAACAAGGAAACGAAACAGACGAAAACAAAACGAGCAAACAAAACAGAAGCAAACAAAAGAGAAACAAACAAAACAGAAAAGAAACAGAAGCAAAAGCAAACAACAAAACAGATGCAAACAAAACGGAAACAAACAAAACAGAAGTAAACAAAAACAGAAGCAAACCACAAAACAGAAGCAAACAACAAAACGGAAACAAACAACAAAACAGAAATAAATAAAACAGAAGCAAACAAAAACAGAAGCAAACAACAGAACAGAGACAAACAAAACAGAAACAGACAAAACAGAAGCAAACAAAAAGAGATGCAACAAGAAAGCAGAAACAAACAACAAAACAGAAGCAAACAACAAAACAGAAGCAAGCAACAAAACAGAAGCAAACAACAAAACAGGAGCAAAAAAAAAACAANACAGGAGAGAACAAACAAACAAACAACAAAATAGAAACAAACAACAAAACAGAAGCAAACAACAAGACAGAAGCAAACAACGAAATAGAAGCAAACATCAAAACAGAAGCTTTCAACAAAATAGAAGCAAACAAAAAAAGAAACAAACAACAAAACAGAAGCATACCACAAAACAGAAGCAAGCAAAACAGAAACGTATAACAAAACAGAAAGAAACAACACAACAGAAGTAAACAACGAAACAGGAGCAAAAAAACAAAAACAAAATACAAAACAGAAACAAACAACAAAATAGAAGCAAACAACGTAACAGAAACAAACAAAACAGAAGCATACAAAAACAGATGCAAACTACAAAACAGAAGCAAACAATAAAACAGAAGCAAACAACAAAACAGAAGAAAACAGTAAAACAGAAACAAGCAACAAAACAGAAACAAACAACAAAACAGGAGCAAATAATGAAACAGAAGCAAAGAACAAAACAGAAGCAAACAATAAAACAAAAACAAACAACAAAACAGAAGCAAACAACGAAACAGGAGCAAACAAAACAAAAACAAACAACAAAACAGAAACAAACAACAAAACGGAATTAAACACGACTGAGGCAAACAACAAAATAGAAACAAACAACAAAACAGAAGCAAACAACAAAACAGGAGAAAACAACAGAACAGAAGCAAACAACAAAACAGAAGCAAACAATAAACCAGAAACAATTAACAAAACAGAAGCAAACAACAAAACAGAAGCAAACGTAGAGTTCACGCGGCCATGGTTGAGGTAGGTCGCGGCGTGGCGAATGGGTGTGCAGCTTTAGTGAGGGGAAAAAAGAGGGAAGAGGGGAAATGAGAGGGGAGAAGAGGAGAGGGAAGAGGGAAAATGGGAAGAGGGGAAATGACGGGAAGATGAGGAAAGAGAGGGGATAGGTTAAATGAGAAGGAAGAGGAGAAAAGAGAGCGAAGAGGGAAAATGAGAGAGAGGGAAGAGAAGGAAATGAAAAGGAGAAGGGAAATGAGAGGGATGAGAAGAAAAAATGAGGGAAAGTGAGGGAAATGGGGAAAAGAAAGAAAAGAACGGAGAGAGAGGGAAGCAGCAAAAGAGAGGGAAGAAGAGAAAAAGAGGGAAGAGATGAAAAGAGGGGAAGAGGGGAAGAGAGGGAAGAGGAGGAAAGAGTGGGAAAAAGAGAGACACGAGGGAAAAGATAGGGAAGCGAGGAAAGAAGTGGGAAGAGGGAACAAACAAATAGATAGGGAAAAGGGGAAGGAAAGAAGAGAAAAGAAGAATAAGAAGGAAAAAGGGTAAAAGAGAGTGGAGATGGGAAAAGAAAGGGAACAGAGGAAAAGGAGAAGAGGGGCGGAAGAGGGAAAGAGAAGAGGAAAAATGGGAAAAATTGAGAAAGAGGAGAAGGAGAGGGAAGATGGTAAAAGAGAGAGGGAAGAGGGGAGAAGAGAGAGAGAGAGAAGAGGGAAAAGATAAGGAAGAGGGGTTGATGGGAAGGCGAGGAAAGCAGCAGGTTGAAGAAGAGGAAGAGGAGGGAATGTAAATGAAGAAAGAGAAGAAATGAAATGAAGAGAGAAGAGAAGAAAGAGTGATAAAGCGGTAGGGAAGAGGTAAAAGAAAGGGAAGGGGAGTAAGTGAATGAAAGAAAAAAGATTTAAAAAAAAATATGAAGTGAGTTTGAATGGGCTAGGAATGCTGGGGAAGATGAAGAAAAGCTGAAGAGAGAGGGTAATGCGAGGGTAAATAGAGGATAAAGCTAGGGTAAAGAGAGGTTACAGCATGGGTAAAGAGTGGGTAAAGCGAGGGTAAAGAGAGGGTACAGCAAGGGTAAAGCAAGGGTAAAGCGATTGGGTAAAGAGAGGGTAAAGCGATTGTTGAGCGAGGGTAAAGAGAGGGTAAATATAGGGTGAAGCGAGGGTAAAGAGAAGGTAAAGCGAGGGTAAAGAGAAGGTAAAAAGAGATTAAAGCAACACAAAATAAGGGTAAAAAGAGGGTAGAGCATGGGTAAAAGGAGGTTAAATAGAGGACAAAGAGAGCGTATGAGAAAGTAGGAGCAAAGAGAGAGAGCAAAGATAGGGAGGGCGAAAAGAGGGCAAAGAGAGGGTAAAGAGAGGGCAAAGAGGGGGTAAAGCAAGGGTAAAGAGAGGTTAAATAGAGGACAAAGAGAGCGTATGAGAAAGTAGGAGCAAAGAGAGAGCAAGGATAGGGAGGGCGAAAAGAGGGCAAAGAGAGGGNATCACACGAGTGGATTTAACACGCGTGAATAAACACGAAACAGTTGATATAACCGCGCAAAAATTGAAATGGGTAATCAGAAAAAATACACACGAACCCGTACACGAACCGGTTTACTCATGAATGCACATGAACCGGTTTACACATGAACCGGTTTACACATGAACCGGTTTGCACATGTACCGGTTTACACATGAACCGGTTTACACATGAACCGGTTTACACATGAACCGGTTTACACATGAAACGGTTTATACATGAACCGGTTTACACATGAACCGGTTTACACCTAAACTGGTTTACACATGAACCGGTTAACACATGAACCGGTTTATACATGAACCGGATTACACATGAATCGGTTTACACATGAACCGGTTTACACATAAACTGGTTTACACATGAACCGGTTTATACATGAACCGGTTTACACATGAACCGGTTTACACATGAACCGGTTTAGCCATGAACCGGTTTACACATGAACTGGTTTTGCCATGAACCGGTTTACACATGAATCGATTTACACATGAACCGGTTTACACATGTACCGGTTTACACATGAACCGGTTTACACATGTACCGGTTTACACATGAACCGGTTTACACATGAAGCCTGTTTACTACAAGGAAATTCAACCTAAACATTAATTCGAGAAAGTAACTTTAATGAATGAACTCTTTTACAGCGCTGAACTTCAAACCCCTTGTCGTGCTCTCATCCCCTAGGAATTTGTTGCCTAGGAATTTGTTCTCTAGAAATTTGTTCTCTAGGTATTTCTTCACTAGGAATTTGTTCTCTAGATATTTGTTCTCTAGGTATTTGTTCACTAGGAATTTGTTCTCTAGGAATTTGTTCTCTAGGAATTTCTTCTCTAGAAATTTCTTCTCTAGGAATTTATTCTCTAGGAATTTGTTCTCTAGGAATTGGTTCTCTAGGAATTTGTTCACTAGGAATTTGTTCTACAGGAATTTGTTCTTCAGGAATTTGTTCTTCAGGAATTTGTTCTACAGGAATTTGTTCTTCAGGAATTTGTTCTGCAGGAATTTGTTCTACAGGAATTTATTCACTAGGAATTTGTTCTACAGGAATTTGTTCTACAGGAATTTATTCTTTATGAATTTGTTCTACATGAATTTGTTCTACAGGAATTTGTTCTACAGGAATTTGTTCACTAGGAATTTGTTCTACAGGAATTTGTTCTTCAGGAATTTGTTCTTCAGCAATTTGTTCTTCAGGAATTTGTTCTACAGGAATTTGTTCTTCAGGAATTTGTTCTCTCTAATGAAGCGACACCTTCTCCGAGTGCCACGCCGGGAAAGGTGCCACTCGGCTCCCAGGAGCCGTCGAGTGAGGGTGTGTGTGTGTCGTGTGGTCCCGTAATAAACTTATCAGAAGAGAGGTCACGAAAGACTAATCAACTGTGTGTGCTTTTTTTATATTTTATATGGTAACAGGGACCTATTTTGAAAAAAACGTCATTGAAATGGCTCCCAGGAGCCGTCGAGTGAGGGTGTGTGTGTGTCGTGTGGTCCCGTAATAAACTTATCAGAAGAGAGGTCACGAAAGACTAATCCACTGTGTGTGCTTTTTTTATATTTTATATGGTAACAGGGACCTATTTTGAAAAAAACGTCATTGAAATTGCTCGTGAAAAGCTCAATTATCGTTTACAATGAACATGTGGGACGGTAAATTGTGATACAATAGAGATTGTATTACAATAGTGAACTCAAACGTAAAATTAATCGATTAGCATAGACTAAGTAAACAAAAATGCTCCCGGTATTGGAATTTCAGGTTCAGTGCTGGCATTTCGTAGTGGTAGCTGTATTAACAGCAAGGCTAGTAACATATATAATATGATATAATATAATATAATATAATATAATATAATATAATATAATTATAGGCACGTTTACAAGTTTACCCTCAATGTATAGGCACGTTTACAAGTTTACCCTTAATCTATAGGCACGTTTACAAGTTTACCTCAATGTATAGGCCCGTTTACAAGTTTACTATCAATGTATGGGCATATTTACAAGTTTACCCTCAATGTATAGGCACGTTTACCCTATATAACTACATGCCAAACTATATATACAAAAATAGTCTGCAGTCGAGACGCTGGAGCCAAATTTTTTGCCTGATGTCGCAAGCGTCGCATTGCAACAACAACAACAACGACAATAGCGATGTTAATGCTACAACAATGCTACAACAATAACAATACTACAACAATAACAATGTTACAACAATAAAAATGCTACATCAAAAGCAATGCTGCATTAATAACAATGCTACAGCAATAACAATACTACAATAATAACAATGCTACAACAATAAAAATACTACAACAATAACAATGCTACAACAATAACAATGCTACAGTAATAACAATACCACAATAATAACAATGTTACAACAATAAAAATGCTACATCAAAAACAATGCTGCATTAATAACAATGGCACAACAATAACAATGTTACAACAATAGTTATGCTACAATTGGGTGGGTTGATCCCCGTTTTCTTGTATCTTTTTTTGTTGTTTGTTTTAATGAGTTTTGTTTAATTTTGAATCTTTAGAATATGAATTATGCATTCTTCCTCTTATTTTTATATAGGTATGTATTATAATTGCATATATCTGTATTAATATTGCTTATATTTGTATTACCGTCCTCCTTATTTATAATATAATCGCTTCAGCTGTTAGTTCGTAGTTCATAATAGGCAATTTTTGTATACATGTTCTTTCTTAATTTTCAATTTTAATTACTTAGTTGATAAATATAGGTATATTTACAAGTTTATTGCCTTCTACGTGCCTACGTGTGCCTTCTACGTGCCTACGTGTGCCTTCTACGTGCCTACGTGTGCCTTCTACGTGCATACGTGTGCCTTCTACGTGCCTACGCGTGCCTTCTACGTGCCTATATTTTTGCGAGTGAAAAGAATGTCGAATGAAAACTGCGTTATCGATTATTATTATTTTTATTATTATTCATATTAACATTACTTCTATTATTGTTGTTAATATTATTATTATTATTTTCATTTCTATTGTTTTTTATTATTGTGAGTAATAAAATAAAATTATCATTGTGAACTTTAAAAGAGAACGAAAATTAGGAGCTAATATAGAATGCCATTCAAAAAGTATCTCTAGAGCATAACTATTTACATCTAATCATTTTGTCATCATAAATTTGCTTGATCTCAATGTTGATATTGTAACGCACATCCAGCCCACTAGACATCTGGTGTTGAAACAACGTTGAATTAAACGTTATTTGGTTACAGTAACGTTAATTCAACGTTATTTCGACGTCATTGGCCTAGTGGGGCCTATGTATTCACTGAGCATATGTCTATAACTGATGACTTATAACAAAAGGCGAATATTTAAATTCATCTCCAAGAATTAGGGTAGGGCAGCACAAGGACAGGAAATTAAGACAACAATTGCTGGGCCAAATTTCATGCGTGCAGATTTGGCACATCAGCACATGCTCACTACACTTGGCACCCGCGCGCTACACTTGGCACATGCGCGCTACACTTGGCACATGCGCACCGCTGCGCCAAACGTGAGGCGAAACGTGACCCCCCGCGAGCGCAAGCCTCCCCCCCCGACATCCCCAGAACCCAACCCCAAGTTGGCACCCTCACCCCTACCATACCTGGCTCCCCCACCCCCTTCTCCATCTCCTCCCTCTCCTCATTTTCCACCCTTTTTTACCTCCCACACATTGTCTTATTTTCTATATCATGTCCTCTGTCGTTATTTTCAATATTTTTGAACTTGGAAATAATGAAAAATGGAAATTAAACAATGAATGTCAAATTTTAGGTAAAACTGACGAAACTCGGAAATTAGTGACCGAGTGTGTAAACAATGAGTGAACATTCATTCTTATCTGTGTTATTATCATTCCAAATATTGATTAACAAGAACGTTGAACTCGTGAATATTGTTGTAGTTATTGAAATAAGATTAAATGATATGCGTTTAAAAAATAATTTTTAAAGTGAAATAATACTAAATAATATGCGTTTAAAAATTACTTTTTGAAGACAACACTTTTAAAGAATCCAGTGCCTCCGATCTTACACATGTACAATGAATTTCTAATTTTATTACTAAATATGTAAACAAGTAATTTTTACATTTTATTTTTAAAATTACAAAAAGTTCAAATTTTTAAAATTATTTATTCTGTCAATTGATTCATGCATTGTCTTCAACTTTACGCAAGTATGCAAAATTTCAGATCGATTGGAGAAGTAGAAGTGTGTTAAAAATCAATAATAATATTTATAGCAGACGAACAAACAACAAGAAGTGAAGTTAAAGAGAAGTGTTGTAAAAATCGGCCCGAAATTGTATTTAAAAAAGGATATTTATCAAGATTTGTTACGAAAAACAGTGACAAATTGAGATACTAAAATAATATAGAAAATATCAGACTACGAAAATTACGTTTTGATATTCTAAAAATAGACAATAAAAATATACCCTCAAACAAATTAATAATGGTTATTCATAAT